TTTTCATCACAATTCAGAAAAGAATACTTCTGGAACATTACATATGCTCCTGCGCATGGGCTGCGCACTGGAACTGGGAATTATGTAGGTCCATTACAGTTATTATAACCTCACTAAAGCTAACTTAGAAATGGAAGTAAATAAGAGGCCTGGGTTGCTAAAAACAAGCCACACTGTTTAGGCTGGAACGGTGAGATTTATTTACCTCTTTGCCTCCATTTCCAAGAGTTTTAGTGTGTTTTAGTAACTGCTACTTGGGGTGGGTATTTTGAAAATGGTATAATTGCACATCCCTTCCCTCAACTCCAGCAGAACATGCTGGAGCGACATCAGTTGCTGACCGAAAAACTATCACTTTCTCTTCAGCCTTCTTCACAACAGAGCAGGCTTTGGTGTAACTTATGATCCACCAAGCTGCATGTAACCCACAAGAAGCTTGACAAACCTCTTGGCTTTCCTGCCTAATTCCCACATCCCCATGTCAACATATAGATCATTATTGCAATCATGAGTTTTTATACCATCAGTTTCATGTGGCAAATGTGTGTTCGAATGCTCCCTTCATTGGCAAAGAGCTGTAATTTTCTGTCACATTCCTTGTTTGGTTTACTGAGGCATGCTAAGTGCCTGCTCTCACCCGATAACAATATATCTGAATAACATTCCCTGGATGAAATTGCAGTAATAAAATGACCTAGTGGATAACAAACTTTTGACGTGGGAGTATGTGAATATGATCTCAGTGAAAGAATTAAGTAAAAAGGCACAAGAGAGCGAATGTTATTTTTGTGGGCCTTTTCCTTTCTTATCTTCCTTATATAGCTGAGCCATGCTGTATCCTCATGGCTACTACAAATGACAGGATGACCTATGCAGGTCAAAACCTGTTTTCTATAGTAATAGTCCTCAACCTTTTCAGACCAGGGACCCACCCTTAGCCCAAGCAGGCAACTGGAGACCCACTTTTTATTGTCACACCATATATTTGAATGGTGGTATTGCTGCTGCTGCTACCAACCAATAGGTCCAGCCGCAAGTCACCAGTGGGTCCCAATGCACCAGTTCAAGACCCCACAACCTCCTTATCTTTAATTAGACACAGACATGTGATGGATAGGTGATGGGATAATAAATACAAGTAGCATAGGTTTCAACAGTTGACATCTGTTGTATTTTAGGTAGGTGTGCCCGTCTAATTACTTTTACTTTCTTTTTTTTTTTGTAACAGTGATATTCATGGAGAAGAACAGAAATTTCAGAAATTGTAATATGAAATCATCTGGAACAGCAGAGAGACCAAAACAGTGTGGGCAAGACTTTTAACAACACAGCCTTTGAACTCTAGAAGCTTGAAATATATATATATACTGTATATATAAAGCAAAACAACTACGCAGATGACTAGCAAACGCTGGCTACTGATAACTGGAGTAAGGAAGTAACGGCGCTGCTTGGGGTGGGAGTAGCAGTTCCCCGCACAGCTCTGCCACGTTGCTACTTTACTAATTCCTGATATATGTTGGAACGCACAAATCTGGGCAGAGAATCCTTCTCCATCAGCATGAAGATTCTCTTCTGGGCCAGGTCAAAAGTGCTCACAGATGGCTCCACCAGGTTCTTCATGGTCACAGATTTGGTGAAATGGTCAATGTTCACCTAGGTAAGAAGGAGGGGGGAAGTGATTATCTGTGGAAATCAAACCAATCCTGTTCCTTCACAGTGTTATTTAAAGCAAGGGAGCTACTAAAAATATGTTTTGCACTTGGATTTATGGCAGAATTGCCAACATGCCTCTCCCATGCAAACTAGTCAGATGGGTGGGGTGCAAATTATAAATAAATAAATAGATAAATACCGGTAAATGTTTGTAACAATGGCAAACATGAAACCAGGAATATCAGAAAATAATCTGGGCCATAATGCACTGAACATCTAGAACACTAATGCAAAAATAATTAAATATTTGAATTTATTTGCAATGTAGATTGTGAATTTTTGCTACAAATATCAGTTATGAAGCTACCACATTCTCAGTCAGTCTTTTGGACTTTCAGGTGGAGCATTTTCTGAACCCTGCCACATGAGATCCTTTTAGCAGGGGATGCCAGGAATTGAACCTGAGCATTGAGCTCTTGGCTCTTCCCTAGAATAAGTACATGAGTCTTGGTTGTGGGCTGTATGTGGCAGATGTAAAATTTCAAAGGATACAAATTTTAATTTGAAAATGTTGGCAGAGCCTGTTGAAATTAGCAGGCTTTGAATTAGAGCAAAGTTCTACTACAACTTTAATTTACGGTAGATA